CGCGTGTCGGCGTAGCGTCTAGACCATCGCGCGGTGCCAATATGCATTTTTTCCGCTATTTTGAGTCAAATTTGGGGTTAGAAAAAGGCGGCTCAAAAAAAACTTGGCACCGAGCCAATTTCGTACAGCTACGCTGACACGCGACGCGCCCAAGCCTTGGCGCCGTGCCAAAATCATTTTTAGGCTGTTTTTGACCATTTTTGGGCTATTTTTAGCGGTTTTTTCGAATTTTTGGTCCATTTTTGGCTATTTCTGGTCCTTACCCACACACACTGCACGCGAAAACGTCGTCCGAATGTTGTCTCCGGACAAAATCAAAGATAAAATATCGCTCACAAACATCGCATTGTCGAAATTTGGACTTGGATTTGACCAAACTGTGAATGACCGGGATTCGCGCGGGCGCCGATGCCGGTGGATCATAGGAACCCGATGGGAGGGCAGATGTCGTTGACGTCTTCTGATTCTGGCTCTTGTTATTATTAAAGTTATGATTCAGCGGGAATGCTGGTGTGAAGATTGATGACGTCGTCGCCGAGGAGGTCGATGTTCGGGAGATACTGCAAAAATCGATAATTTTTGGAATGTCACCGATTTTCAGCCAAATTTAAATTTTCAGATTTTACCTAAATTTCAGTCTTCCAGATCAGAATTTCACCTAAAACTCGAATTTTGAGCTCTCGAGATGTGTGAAAATCGTCGAAAAATCCGAAAAAAAAATTTCAGCCAATTTTCAGCCAAAAACGTAAAAATCTCGTAGTTTTTTTGAATTTTAGAGTATTTCGGGTCAGAATTTTATGCAGAATTCGAATTTTGACTTTTTGAAAGTTTCTAAAATCGTTTGAAGCTCAAAAAAACTCAAAACAAAATGTTAGGAAAAATTTTTAATTTTCAGCCAAAAACCCAAAATTTCATCCGAAATTCAAATTTTTGTTCCGGAAACCTCTAGAAGCCATTTAATCTCGGAAAAAATTTTAAAAAAATTTTCAGAATTTTCAATTTTTTCAGCAGTTTCAGCCAAATTTTCAATTTTCAGTATCCTATTTTTTGCAGAGTATCGCCGATGACGATGCGGACGACGTCGCCGTGGAATTCAGAATGTACTTCATTTTTCACAAAAAGAAAAATGAAAAAATAAATCGATAAAAAATCAGTGATAACGTCTTCTAATCAGGAGACGTTGAGAGAGAGAGAGATAAGAATCAGCGAGAGAGACGCAGAGAAAACAGGCAAAACGAACCGATTCGATTGTCGTTTTTGACGACAAAAAACGCAGTTGATCATCTCGATCCACATGGCAACATGGCAGAGACAAAGTGGGGGGCGGGGTCAGCGGCCTAATTATCGATTTTCGTTTCGGCTCTTTTTAGGTGATTTTTTTTTTCGAAAAATTTCGAAAAAAAAACAACACAAGAAAAACAGCAAAAAAAAAGACCAAAAAATGATGGAAACAAATGGGCGGGCCCTTGCGGAGATAACGAGAGATCGAGAGAGTGTATTGGCAGTGAGAGACGCAGAGAAACAGGTTACTCTCGCCTAATAGATCAAAAATGGATGGGAGATTTATTGGGGAATTAATTGGGTTTTATTCGAATTCTGCGGTCATTTTTAGGCGATTTAGGCAGTGTACGGTGAAATTTTTTATTGCATCAAAATGTGCAGAAATGCATGTAGATTGACATAAAAATAAAGAAAAAATTCAAAAAAAATTCCTTCATCGAGAAGAACGCATCGAAAAATACGCTGAAAGCCCTTAGGGACGAGGTTTTTTCTAGGCCGCCCGGTGGGTAAAAGCGCGCGAATTCAAATTTTTAAAATTTTTTCGCTCGTTTTCACTTTTTTTCGGTTTTTTCAAGAGTTTTCTAGGGTTTTTGTCAATGTTTCTTCCAGATACATCGGAAAATTTAAAAAAACCGTGAAAACGAGCGAAAAAATTTTAAAAGTTTTCGCGCGCTTTTACTGAATTCGCGCGCTTTTACTCACCGGGCGGCCTAGAAAAAACCTCGTCCCTAAGGGCTTTCAGCGTATTTTTCGATGCGTTCTTCTCGATGAAGGAATTTTTTTTGAATTTTTTCTTTATTTTTATGTCAATCTACATGCATTTCTGCACATTTTGATGCAATAAAAAATTTCACCGTACACCACCTTTAAAGTGTCGTCGCTGATTTTTATTTTTTCGAGAATTTTTGATTTTTTGGGACTTTTTTTGTTGTTGAAAAATCTGCAAAATTCGATTTTTTCAGGGGAGGAGGACCAAAAAATTGAAAATTTGAACTTCTTTTTTTGCAGTTTTTCTTCATAAGAAAAGGATTTAAAAAGTCTCACCGTGAAACCTGTAATAGAAGTGCCCCCTGACTTTCAACTTTGAGCCCATTATCTCGGTT